ATTGTTTGATTTTAAACATACGCTGTGTACAGATAACGGCAACTTATATATTACTAGCATTGTTTGATTTTAAACATACGCTGTGTACAGATAACGGCAACTTATATATTACTAGCATAGTTTACCTTCAGTTGTCTTACTTGTTTGATTTTAAACATACGCTGTGTACAGATAACGGCAACTTATATATATTACTAGCAAAGTTTACCTTCAGTTGTCTTATTTGTTTCATTTTAAACATACGCTGTGTACAGATAACGGCAACTTATATATTACTAGCATAGTTTACCTTCAGTTGTCTTACTTGTTTGATTTTAAACATACGCTGTGTACAGATAACGGCAACTTATATATTACTAGCATAGTTTACCTTCAGTTGTCTTACTTTTATCAGGCTTAGTAACTAAACACTTTTGTATGAAGTTCTAAACACTTAATTTTCTCATCAATAGGATTTTTTAAATAAATGTCTTAAGTAACATAACTTTTTTTCAAATGTGCATTTTAAATATCTGTTATTTACTAGCTTGTCAAATGCAGGGATGTTTGGCATAAATTTTCAATTTTTACAAAGAAATAGGGAAACTGTGTAAAGGAAAAATAATTACATAGTCAACGTTTTGGCTAAACATTGGCCACATAACTAATTTTTTTCCCCATGACAATTTTCACCCCTACATTGTATTTTTAGGTATTATCATGTGTTTCTTCAATGTTTTGTTGTTTTCTGAAGAACATGAAACTCTGGTGGTTACAGGTTTTCAGGTATAACGGTCAGTATGATCAACTAGAGCTATGCCTAGAGCCTCATGGGCACTTTGCAATATCTGAAGGCATCGAGGAACGAGTGCTTGGTCAAACTCCACGTGTTTCTGAGGCTAGTCCCATTGGCTCAGTAGCTTCGCTGCCAGGATCTAGTGGCATTGTGTCCACCAGTGCCATTCCTAAACGATCAGCCCACGTACCCTTTCAAGGTATGGGACACACACTACGGGAAAGCCAACCAACTAATAGTAAAGTTACTGCTGAGAGAGGAGTTACCTGTCCCAAAACTCCATTCACTTCTCATTCTGTTGCTCTACTAGGGGCTACCCCCTCCAGTATACTGCCTCAAACAGCTACTCGTAAAGGTCCTGGATTTTCTGTCCTTGGTCCAGAAGAAGTATGTGTCATTAAAAGTTCAGAAGATCGATTGAAAGAACTGGTGTCTAAACTAGAAAGTGCTGGTCATTCAGGTGAGGAGGACAACTTGAAAAGATTAGTGTGCCTTGAGGAAGATACTGAGGTACGTAGAATTCCACATAAGAAAAATAAAAATGTGCTCGAGAAATGTCTGAAGTTTGTAGGGTTCTACTTCTGATGACATTTATTTTACTTTTCAGTTATTCGTAATACTGGAACTCTTTGATCCTTCCTTACATTAGAGCTGCATGTAAACATTTTCTGTTGACCTGAGGTACATTAGAGCTGCATGTAAACATTTTCTGTTGACCTGAGGTACATTAGAGCTGCATGTAAACATTGTCTGTTGACCTGAGGTACATTAGAGCTGCATGTAAACATTGTCTGTTGACCTGAGGTACATTAGAGCTGCATGTAAACATTTTCTGTTGACCTGAGGTACATTAGAGCTGCACGTAAACATTTTCTGTTGATCTGAGGTACATTAGAGCTGCATGTAAACATTTTCTGTTGACTTGAGGTACATTAGAGCTGCATGTAAACATTTTCTGTTGACTTGAGGTACATTATAGCTGCATGTAAACATTTTCTGTTGACCTGAGGTACATTAGAGCTGCATGTAAACATGTTTACATGCAGCTCTAATGTACCTCAAGTCAACAGAAAATGTTTACATGCAGCTCTAATGTACCTCAGGTCAACAGAAAATTTTCTCTTGACTTGAGGTACATTAGAGCTGCATGTAAACATTTTCTGTTGACCTGAGCATTAGATTGTTTCAATTGTAGTTCTTGGAAGCTGCACTGCTTAGCTATCAGTAGAAGAAGTTAACCATAAACTTGAATTATCGATGAGGTTGCTTTATTATAGAGATTTATTTTAAAATTATTCATGCACCAAATTGCTGGTAGGTCTATTATTGGTTACAGGATCTCTAATATTGTATGTACCACACAAAAACATGTAAACACAATTAATCCCACTAATTATGACTGGAGTTTCCTGTGTAGTTTACACGTTTTGTGACCAGTATTGAAATTTGTCATAACAGGTTAAAATATAAGAAATATTCAATATGATACAGTGAATGGTATAAAAACAAGCCAGTAACTTGAGGGTTAAGTTGTTAGGTTTCAGATAATAAAATAGTTATTAATTCACTAACTAAGAAAGGTAATATGTAAAGCATAGTTAAAATATTTTCCCAGGACATATTCTCACCTTTGTTTTACTTCAGATGGAAGAAACATTTACCGAAACAAGTATTCATCATCCTGATGATGGAAGTAGTGGTCAAGATCCACTGAAGATAGAGAAGGACGAGACATTGTGTCAGAACATGGAGACTGATGATAAGTGACAGGAAACAAAGTAATGTTTCTAGAACTAGGGAAGAGCTAATGGTAACAGAACTGTGATAGTAACACTTGTGTTGTTTTTTTAAGGAAACTTTTACATTTATTAGTATACAGGTATGAAAGGTATTAATTTGTAAAGTTATGTATTATAAATTAAACATAATTACATTGAGAATTCAGTTTCATTACTAACAAAATACCACAAAAGAGGTTTGTTTGTTTTATGTAAAGGAAGATGGTGGAATATACAGTGATTCAAGAACTGAATGTTGGTTCTTACAATGTAGATCATTACCTGTTGTTTCATGTATAGCAGCTTAATGTGTTGAAGCACGTTCTGCCACTAATTACAGCTGCTAGCTAAATAACTATTGAACAAGTAAAGTGTTTATATACTGTTACTGTGTTTAAATTCTGAATCATTCAACCATCTGATCTTTATTTTATCAATTTATATATAAATATATATATAGTCTTTCCTCAGCCAATTTCTTCCTGTGGATAAGATTCGCTATTACAAGCCTAACAGCATAAAAAAACGTTACATTTCTGCACATTTTAAGGCCAAATATACTTATAACCCCAGTATGTGAGCAAAGTTTTTAGGATATTTTGTTCCTTAACTGTAATGAAATAAATGTTGGAAAGCAAAGAAAAAGTGCAATGTGAATTTTTTTTATATTTAAATACATATACTATGCTGCAGAGGTTTTATTAATTAGATATCACTTGAACTAAAAGTAAAACATAGAGATTAGTTCTCACACATGTTTCAGAAGGAACACTGTTTGTAAAACGTATCACAGTATACTGG